CAGTGCCTATACAAAGTGTTCACAGGCATGTTGCATATTCTTTACCAGCCAAAGCTTTACGGGGATTTTTTTAAAAAGAAAGACATTCTTGAAAAAAAGCTAATATTAAAGAAGTTTACCAGAAACCATGTGGGAGAATCTGAAGTCGCTTGGAAGAGAGTTCTTCGGTCTGATGAGCGCAAAACTCAACTTTTTAGTCATCAGACCAGATACTATGTTTGGTGGACACCAAACACTGCACATCATCACAAACATCCCTATTGTGAAGCATGGTGGTGGCAGCATCATAATGTGGGGGTGCTTCCCGGCAGCAGGCCCTGGAAGGCTTGTAGAGGTGGAGGGTTACATTTAATTTAGCCAAGAATAGGGAAATCTTGGAAGAAAATCTGATACAATCCGCAAGAGAACTGCGACTTGGTAGAGGATTTTATTTTCCTTCAAGACAAAACCCGAAGCATGCAGCCAAAGCTACACAGAAATGGTTTAAAAGCAATAAGATGAATGTTCTGGAGTGGCCAAGTGACAGCCCAGACTTCAATCCAGCTGAGAATTTGTGGCTGGACTTGTAAAGGGTTGTTTACTCTCGATCCCTGTGTAACCTGACACAGCTTGAGCAGTTGTGCAAAGAAGATTGGGGAAAAATTGTAGTGTCCAGACATGCAAGACTGACTGAGGCCTGTCCACACAGGCTGTATGCTGTAATTACAGCCAAAGGTGCTTTTACTAAATGCTGACTTAAAGGAGGCGAATCCAATTACTTAATTTACATTTTATATTATTAATTAACACTACACTGTAGAAATCTGTTTTCACTTTGACATGAAAGAATCTTTTTGTTGTTGTACATTCTTGTCAGAAAGCCAAATTATATTGACTGTGATTCACTGCTGAAAAGCAATAAAATGTGTCCATTCTCTCCTGATTTGTCAGCTGGCACCTGCTTCATGCTTTTAGTTTTAGCACACTCCCTCTGCTCTGCTCCACTCTGACAACAACAGAAATAAATCATTCCTGAAAAAAAACTCTCCCCATACTTTATCTTACAAATGTGACATAAACAAAGGCTGTTGGATCATACGGCAACATGCGGCTGTCTTCACGTCTCACTAAAATAAATTGGAGTCGTATCTTTATTAAAATATGTTCTACTTTAAGAGAGGCTCATCAAATGCATGAGTCTGAAATGCACTCTCTTATCTACGCAACTGTATTCCAGCTAATTTGAAGGTTTGTAAATTAATGTAGGAAGAAACTAAGGTAATTAAAAGATCCTATAAACCCATTGTCACTTAATCATCATTTCTCAATGGTGAGGAATTCATGAGACATCCTGCATTCATTCATGCGTTTAATTGTCTCACACTGGTGTTTGCCTTTATTATGAAGACTTACTGATTTAAGTACAAATGGTCATTGACTTATGTCTCTGGGATGTGAAAGAGAATGCTGATGAGAGGCCACATTAAGAGCACAATGTACTGCTAACAGATGGAGAGCAGCCAGAAATGATGAGACAGTGGGTGGAAAATTGTGCAATCCCTGGAAACTGAGCAGCAAAGCACGGCTGCTCCCGTGGCCCGTGAGCCATCCAGCCACAGAGGATCGGGGCCACCTCAGACTAAAAAAAAAAAAAAAAAAAAAAGCCCTAACACTCAGGCTTGCAGGAGAAATCGGCCTCTGGAGTGCATGCCACTCTTCTGCCTGAAGCTGCAGATGCAAGTCATTGATTCTTTTGGAGCACGTCACCAAATGACCCTAATTGATAGCCTGTGAACGAGGTCACTCTATATTTTTCTCTTCCCAATCCTGGGACGAGCTCGGAAAGCAGAGGAAGGAAGGAACAAGGGGGAGAAGATGCAACACACTAACCTTTAATATGTGAGAAGGAAAATGGCAGCGTACCAGCTCTATCTCTACAATTTTCTCTTTTCATTGAGGAAAGTACTATTTCATTCATGCCATTTCCGTTCATTCATCAGCTGGGGCCAGCCTAGACTCACAGTGCCATCTCCACACCAACATTCTTATCAATGGGAGTGACGTCAGCAGTGCCTGCAGCTGGGGGGTGGTGGTGGTGGTGGGGAGGGAGTCACGTGGTCCAATGAGGGTATATACAATAAAGTTGCGCTGACCGTGGTGCTGAAAACATTCACTCAATTGTACATTAGCACCAGTGCTGCTGCCATACAAACACAGCTTACAACTAAATAAAAAAAAAGAAGCGCCAGTTTGGTGTTTTTTTTTTTTTTTCTTCCTTGATGTTGGTCACAAGCTGAAGTGAGAGGGGGGACAGCTGAAATTCTCTCAGGTGATCCACTATTCATGAAATAATCTTGGCTTTACCCGTGCGTTGTGAGTTTCACCACTTCCCCACCCCCCAGTGGGACTCCAGGTAAGTGGAACGAAATCTCATTCTGTATCATTTATAAGCCACACTAACCACAACTATTTCTTAATGTTGCTTTTTCAATTATTAGCAGTTCATGTGTTTAATCTGCTTCTTTTTTTTAAAGGACAAGTGAGAGGTGTTTTACGGTTGTGGAGTGTTTGTGAGAATTTCTTTTTAAAATCGCAGCTTTATCGCCAGATTTCATCTATTCGCTGCAACTGGGCGACTCTTGGTTGTCTAATTGGAAAGTAGACGCAAAATTTGGCTATTTTCTGTAGCTTTTATTATTATTAATTACAGTTCTGTACATTTTGTCACTTTAAGTAATCAAGTTATATTTTGAAAACTAATTTCCTTTTTTTTTTTTTTGCTTAAAGATTTTTTTTCTAAATTGAGAAATGATCACATTTATGGACATTTATGAATGTATTAACCTGAATAATAATAAGTGCAATGGCAAAAAACAAAGAAATCTGTTATTTTGTATTTATATTGAGGGAAGGAATAAGAAATTAAGGCAGACATTTATGTTTAAAAAATATTTCTGTGCGCCTGCCTCTCAAAAGCCTCTGTAAAATTTCGTCTGAGATTTTTTTTTTGAAACGAGAACACAACAGAAATCGTGTCGATTTTTCCGATTTTTAAAAAAACAGGATTTAAACAGACAGATTTTAGCTATTCTATTTTAATTAAATCAAAATCCTAAACATTTATGATAGGCCACTTGCCTTAGAAAGCGTATTTGTTTCGTTTCCCACTTTGCAGATTCAGTTTATACAAATGGAAATAATTAAAATTTGGGCAGTGCTGCCAAAATTTGCGCTCGTCTGCATTCCACCACTGCCACTGAGGAGAAACATGCTCACACCACACAAGGACAAAGCCGCGCATTCACACTGACTGCTCCCTCTTTCGTCCCCTTGTGCAAAAAGGGGCTTTATAGTCTACGATTTAATATCCAGTTCATTTACAATTTGGATGGACCACTCAGGGACCGGAGGGTTAAATAACTCGACCGTAGCCACCAGCTTTACGCATGACTTCCCCGTGCGCGCCGCCTTTCCACCAGTGTCCTGGTCACATCGCTTTGACGCATGGAATACCAAAATCACTGCTAAAACAGAAGCATAGCCCGGATCACTTTGTATTTTCTGCATTATTTTTTATTTTTTTGTAAGAAATAGGTGCTTAAAATGGGAGGTGCGCGCGTTCTGGTTGTGTTGGCTTGGAGAAGGAGGTGAGACATTTCCATCTACTATAAGCTGAGACAATTCAATTCCTTAATGTGCGTTTCTGTACTATATTGTAACAATTTGCTCGGTTAAATCCCATGAATCTGACAAAAAAATAAAAAACAACTCCGAGCATGTCTTAATGCCCATCAAGAGATCCGCGTTGTGCAAAGATAATGACTGGGTTGACGCGCTCTTGGAAACAAAAAAAAGAGCCAGTGTTTGACTTCGACGCGCAATTTCTTCATGCAGATTTGAAAAACACGGACATTTTACACGGTACATGACCGAATCACGACTGGTTTATACGGTCGGATCAAAGCTTCATCTTCGTGTACCCAGATGTGCTGACCAAAAAAAAAAAAAAAAAAAAAATGGAGCCAGTTCGAAGTATTAGAGGCTAGTATTGATTTTCCTTCGAAAACATTCAGGAAAATAAGGCCAGAAGAGGAAGAGGGGCGCATAACTTTTTTTTTTGTTCTATTTGGCATATCTTATTAGACTGCTTTGTCTGCCTGCTTTGCTCTCAAATGTTTGTTCAATTAAGCAAAAACTGCTCACAGTATTTCCTTTTTTTTCTGCTGTGGCTTCAGGGTGAAAACAGTATGGAAATTATAGGCTGACAATCTAAATGATATTTTAATGTGTCATATACATTTTATTGAAATGATCCTGATATGCTCATATTCTGGTGATCGTGACTCCAGAGCAAAAGGCTCTGCCAAATGAAATGTGAATCGTTTCTCACGTGTCTCCTGTCTTTCTCCCCCTTCCCTTTATTTCTTCTTATTCTTCAGGTGCTTAACCTCCCTCCTGCCAGTTCTGCATGGTCATGACCTGTCATCAAGCACCTTCCACGGCCCACCTAATCCTATTGGTCCTGTTCATTGTCACTCCACAGCTCGCTGGCGCCGCCCCTGCGTGGGGTGAGGGAGGGGAGGGAGGGGTGGAGGGGCGCACCCGGACAGACCGTAAGGAGGACAGCCTTGCCCCCTTTCTCTCGCCCCCACCCCAGAGTCTCTCCAGCCCTGACAACGCCTCGCTAGACCGGGGTCGGGGCCTGGGTCAAGATAACCAATTAGATAAAGTGACGGACCCCGCGCAGGTGCTCGCCGTCCTTCTGGAGGCCCTGGACCACCCAGGGGACAGTGAGGTCCAGGCGAGCAGGAACAGAGACTGGGAAGAGGATCAGAGCCAGGAGCTGCCCTCTACTGAAGGCTTGGAGGGTGGCGAGATAAGGAGAACAGAGCAGACGGAAGGGGAGGAGGGGCGGGGGGCCGATAAGGCTATTGAACAGCTAATTGTAGGCCATTTGACAGCTGCTCAGGGGGATGACTTGAAGGAAAGGGAGGAGCAGGATAAAAACACAAGGTCGGAGTATGATCAAGGATGGTCTGCAAAGGATGTGGAGCCCGATAGTGTAAGTGAGGAGGGAGGGAAGGGAGAAGAAGAAAAAGAAGAGGGACAGGAGGAGGGAAATGATTTAGAAAGTTTCTTAGACAAGGCCACCTCACAGGGAGACGATAACTCTCTGCAGCGCAAAATAAGAGGCTACTTCCAAAACATTGACTTGGGTCTCCAAGATAATGAGATCCTGCCTCCTCTGAAGGGCTACAAGGCGTACAACACTCAGCTGGCACGAGCCGGAAAGAAGCAGCACTGGCAGGAGAACCAGTCCCGCAACAGACCCGTCAAGGGGGGCAACTTCATGGATGACTTTGAGGATGAAGGAGAGGAGCTGGAGGAGGAGGTTGAGGAAGAAGAGGAGAGCCTCTCCCACATGGAGGAGGAGGCGAGAGCACGTGCAGAGAAGCAGGAGGTGCTCCGGCAGCAGGAGGAGGCGGAGCGTGCCAGAGAGGAAGAACAGAGGCTGGCAGACATCGCCTCTGATATGCTGCTGCAGTACATGGGGAGGAAGCAGCAGTCCTACATGAAGCCCCGGCAGAAAAGCAGCATGGGGGCCGCCGGCAACACCGCCGAGGACAAGCGCTCAGAGGAGGTCCTCCCCGATGAAGACGACCTGGACCAGCAAATGATCGACAGGCTGATCGAGATCAGCAGCAAGCTGCATCTGCCTGCTGATGATGTGATTGAGATTATTAGTGACGTAGAGGAGAAGAAGAAGAAAAGGAAAGAGTTGCAGCAGCAGCCGATTAACAGCAACCCCGTTGCCCCACGCTTCAGGCCTCTGGTGCCTCCTCCTCTGGCTGCCCCGCCTCTTTACCACTACACAGCCTCAAAAAACCCCAAGAAAGCCCCTTATAAGTACAACAAGTCCAACAAGAAGTGGCACAAGGACAAAGTCAAGTCATACAAGCAGGACTATTGGTATAAGCCTCAGAAGCAGCTTGACTACTGGTATAAACCCCAGAAACAGTTTTTAGCCTTCCCCTCCTATCCATACTACCAAAAGCCATATCGAGCCTACTACCCTGTTTATTTCCCATATCCCAAACAACAATACTATGGCAAGCCCTCCCCCTCCAGAGACCAGCCCTTCGGCCCCCAGGAACTTGAACTCCAGCCCCCGAGGCGCAGGCACAGGGCCGGGGGTAAGAACCGTGGGCAGGGCTGGAGGCAGCAGCCACCACCACGCCTGCCTCTCACCCCTTATATCTCTAACTATATCCTCCCTCACCCACGGACCTACCAACCCCTGCCCCCTCCCAAACCAATAACCACCCCCAGGAGAGGCAGGCGACCCCCGTACTACTATCCACAAGTCACACCAGGAGATGACTATGAGGAAGATGGGCTGGTGCCTCAGCTGGACAGTGAGGAGGAACTGGAAAACTTTATTGAGAGGATCTACATGAAGCGCAGAATGTATTGAGAGACTTTTTTGGACATTTGTCAGATCAGAGAGACTGACGGAGGTGGGATAGATATACAGTAGCTGGAGAAAAGCTAAAACAGGGGTGAAAAAATAAAAGACTCAGAGGAGTTGTGTTTGGAGCCTGACGGAAATTTAAGGTCCGAGAAGTAAAAAGTTAGATTTATGTTGTTTTAATCACTGTACTTTTGTTGATTTTCTCAGTCAGGGAGAGGATGAAGGGGTCCCAGTTTAAGCTCCCTGTAACCATGTTCAGCCTCTTGCTCAGTTTACATTTTGAAACAGAACATACCATGGTGTATGTCTGCCTCCATTCAGGTCAATCTCTGATGCTCTTGCATATTTCAGAGATTTCAGAGGACACACACACACACACACACACACAGATAAACACACACAGACACACATATACATCAACACACCTACATAAAATCACATTTTTGACACATTCGCAAGCAGATGTGCCCATTGTAAGAGAACCATGTTTACAACATCACTTTGTATCTTTTGTTTTATATTCTGTATGTCATATTACAAAACTAAAGTAGTTCAATGACTTCTTAGCTATACAAGTATATAAAAAAAAAACCTGAACACTGCTATTGTCAGATGTTGACAGTATATTTTTGTTGTATTTGATGTGTGTACTTGCCTTTCTTATTCCCGATTGGATCAACTTTAAACAGCTGCAATTTGCAAAAGGTGCCAAATACACACATTTCAGTTTTTCAAACTCAAGATTCAGATTTTTGCCTTACAAGCGCCATGGTTCTATAAGGGAAATATCATATCGCATAATTCTATCATCACAACCGGTCCCAATGTAGAAACCCTGTGGACTCCAAAAGCACAAACTTAAATACTAAACACTTCCAACCTGGTGGACTAAGGGTTTTCAATCATTTTGGGATCCAGAAGTTATTGTGTCAACATATTTATGGCAGATCCACCATAATAAGTGTCACCACCGCCATTCGCTGCTCCTTGACTTTGCGGGAGTATTTCCACGTGTCATTTTCTCATCGTGCATCTGTAATTCACGATTACTCACTTATTCTTTGTGTTTTTTTTGTTTTTTTTACGCACACACACGCACACACACACACGGTTGTTTCTTGCATCATATCCACAATATCCAGTTTTCCTTTCTTTCCAAGAGAAAAAAAAAATACTTGAAATCACTCTGTTTGTTCTGCAGCCTTTTTAAACAGATTTCCACCAAGAGGCTACAAACATTTATGTTCATTTTCAGAAGAAATTCATTGAAAAGTTTCAGGCCGGGGAGTCAGGGATTGTGCTTAAACCGTTAAATGCACGTCTTTCTACTTGCATCTTAAAAAATGAAAAAAAAAAAAGAACAAAAAAAAAGAGAAAAAATAAAACAGTATGGAGAATCCAAAGTGGTTGTTTTCTCTGAATAAACTGTGAACATAAAAAAAAAAGAATTTTCAAAAGGAAGAGGGCCACTGTGTCCACAGTGAAGCCATCTGTCTTGTAAAAGGAGAGTGTTGTTGTTGATGTCACCTTTAGCATTGTAAGATGTACAGTGTGAAATAAATATGCCCGTGCAATGTGTAAATAACAGCATGATGATTACTAGTTTTGCTATATGATAAAAAATAAAAGCAATTATTTTATTAAAGTTCAGTTTTTTAATGGCTTTTTGGCGAGTGCTATGTTGTATTTGTATAGCAGCAAATATAGCAGGAACACTTAGTTCTTAAGTGACAAAACAAGCCCAAATGCACAAAAGAGGAAGACAACTGAGTGAAGATTAGTGAGTGCACGACTCATATATGTCACAATCACATCATTATGGAGACAAGTAAAGAAAAAAAAATCAATAGAGGGGGATTATTATATTCCCAAAACAATCAAAATCAACACCGAAACATCAAGAATGGGAGCGAAAAGGGGAGGAATAAGTGAAGAATGGAAAAATTCAGAAGTAGGGAGGGAAATGGTAACTGCAGTGATTGATGAGTCACATGACTGCTGGATGAGTCATCCATCTGTACACTTTACTGCGCAGGACCACACACTCGCACACATATACACACACTCGCACACACACATACACACACGCACACACACATGCACATTCTCTTTGAGCTGTATAGTAATTTAGCTGCTGGCATTCAAGATAAAGATTGAGTCATGTTCGCTTCTGCCTCGAGCCTGCCAATCGGCCGGTGGAAAGGTGTTGGGTAGATAGGTTTTGCCATATCTTGTTTCCACACCTCCCCCTCACTCTCACATCACACAGGCAATATGCCCTTCTGCTATAATTCCTTGAAGTGATTCTGGTTTGCCACTTGTTTGGCATCAGAACAAACTTTATGCATGCGGTCTGTAGTACAAACACTGACAGTGATAAGCAGCCTGTCAATATGGTCTAATCACATGTTATCTTGCCAGCAGCTGATTGGAATGGCACCTTTCATGGCTTCATGTCAGCTTGCTGAGTGATTATTGGGCACCGTGTTATGAATTCAGAAATTCATTTACAGCTTCTGCGGCTATTCATTGACTGACTGTAAGAATGGATGTGTTTTTTTTGTGGCCTCTGTGATTTCATTACTAAGGGTGTTTGAGCTCTAAAAACAACAAGGCTGCATGGTCACTGGCCTTCAGCCAGCTGTGCTCGAGGGGACAAAGGAAAAGATGCAGTGACCAGTGTCGACAGGACTACAGGAGCAGCTGGCATCTGAGTATGAGACTCTTTCTGTGGCATTCATACATACCCAACAATGCAGTAATATCACTCAAGCTGCGGTTGTATTATTGGTACAAAAGGGCAAAAGAATAGTGTGATGGTTTTTGGTATTTGTCCGTACATGAGAAGGTCAGCATCATTCTTGTGTCTGCTGGCAGTTATCTCAGCTATAGACGTCATAATGGAATAATAAATTCCCTTGCATCTAGTTTTATTTGTCCACCAGTTTACACATTGTACATCTAAGTGTGTTTACTGGTGTTTTCGGAGTACAAATGCATTCATGAAAAAAAATATAAAGCTGGGTGAAGTCTGGTATTAGGCCTCTAGTCAAAGTCAATGCAGTTCAAGACAACAAGTTTGGAACGGAACAAAAAATCACAACAGTCGGCAGAATCTCTACAAGTGTTGCATGTAAGTAATGCAGGCACCCGGTTTCAACAGTGTACAAGAATGTATGGAAAAGATAATATCTGTGTTTCTGCTGCACCTATTTGGATTCTTTCTTTAAACTGTTCATTATGAGTCTGGAGGTGTTGTAGGAATTGCTGGAGTACTCTTCTAATCATTCCAGGGTAGCTGAGAGTATCTTATCCATTTTGCATTTTTCTGGCTCTTAAATCAAAGCTGCAATAGTGATTTTTTTTATTTTTTATTTTTTTTTGAGGGGGGGGGGGGCTGCATTGAGAAAGCACAACAGCAGTGAACACAACACCGAGCTTTTGCTTATGCTTATTTATACATAACTAACACAAAGCAACATCATTTTGTGTTTCTAGCCACCTGGCAATCTCAAGCGCTTACTATCATTTTGGCTCCTTTCTTGCCCTCCACCATCTCCTGTGGGAAATGTCTGACTCCTAATCTGTTAAAGGTTTACCAGTGGAAAACAACAATACACGTCCCCAAAGTCTTTGGCAATGAAAGCCGATGACACTAATTCGATGTCAGGTGGGGACTGTTGCCACAGTGCTGTTTGATTGGCTGCCTGCCACATACTGTTGTCATGTTTTTCTCATAGTTGCCAGAAGCAGAGGCTTCAGTTCTGCTTTTAGAAGTGACTGAGCACTTAAGGAGGAAGATTTTAAAGGCGAGAGGTATAGCTGGAGCTGGAGAAACCCCTTAAAACAAGGTGCGTATCGATCCCAATTGGTGGATTTTCTTTGTTTAGGAGTAATTCACAAAAGTATTTTAAGGCTGACAATGGGATCTAATTCTGAGAGAGCCAAGAAGACCTCTAAGTCAGCTCACAATCAGTCAAACGCTGTTTACTTTAACTTTAATGTTGAAGTGATAAACTTAAAATTGTAGTTTAATATAAAACAAAAGTAAACTTAAATGGGATATATTGTATTTAGAGATTTAAAGAATTAAAAAAATACATTTGACTACACCTAGAATTTATTTAATATTACAATATTAAACTATATATATTTATTCATTTGAATTGCACTTTAAACAAACTGAATCAGGTCGTTTCCTCTTTACATACCTGTGTGTTGAATACATTCACTGACGCAGTCTGGTGTCAACTTGTCAACCATCACCGTACGTCGCACGGGGAGTCAATTCATTTGGAAACCTGATGTCATCCGAGGCAATGGGGGTCAACCCACCCGAGGGCTCTGCTGTCCACCAGATGATTTCTTTGATGTCATCCAGCAAACACCAATGAAAGACGTCCTGACTCACTGCAGTGGAAGTTCTTGGGGAATTTCCGAACATCTGTGTATAACATCACCAAATTAAAACTTTCATGTAGTAGATCAGATCACAACAATATGGTGAGTGGTTGTCAAGCTGTTTTTATGCTGTAAGGCCAGTCAGATATTTCAATAAAATTGAATGCGTTTAAACCTGATAAAAGCAGCAAATCCTCTCAGTGATTGTTTTTTTATGTTCCCAGTTGTTTCATACTAATGTATCAGGACTGATGGGTTGGTGATCTATTGAGGCTGCATGTAATGTGTTCAATGAGTGCAAAACACTCTATCAGCTTTCATTGCAATACCTGACTAACACACAATAAATAAATACATGTATAAGGTCTGTGTATTGCAGAATATAGCGTCAATTCAGTTCGTTTTTCTCCCTCACACAAAAGACTTCACAGGATTGACACAGCGATGTGGTTAAGCAGGTGTGCTCTGATAATACACGATGTTCACATGCAGAAGCTTTTGAAAAGAAAGCTTTCATAAAGTTCTCCTTCTCACCTTGTTGCTAAGCTGTGGACAGCAAGAGCCATGCTGAGACATTGCTATTTACATTCCTGTTTCTGTGATCTATCCTGCACAATTGAGATTTAGAATTTCCCCAGCACAATAGGATAATTGTGTGTCAAGCTTTAGATCACATTACGTCCTTATAGTAATCATTTATATTTTGTCTGGTGGGTGTGCTATAATTAAAATGTAATTTAAATTTTTCAAAAGGCTCCAACTCTCACAGGCACGAAATTTGGTATACACCCAGCTCCTGGCACAGAAGAGTCTGACAGCACAACAATTCATCAGTAATGGCCCCAAGAAGCCCATGCATTTACAGAAGCAGAAATGTGAGGAAAAAATGTCAGCCATTAGTAGTGTGAATATTGAATACCCTTCAAAATATGATTAAATAATGATCGTGGAATTTCTACAGCAGTGGGACTTTGGCTCAACCTTTAACTTTAAATGTCAGCATGACATTGGCTAATAGAATTCTCTATGCATATCTATGTATGCAAAGTGTGGCGTTTACACTGTAGTAATGAATGGAAAGAGCAAATTGATCAACACTGACTAAAGTCCTAACAGATGTGTTTACACATGGCTTAAAAAACATGAACATGTAAACAACATGACATGGACAAAATCACTGATGGAAATGAGTCATATTGGGTTGCATGGCAACTAACAGTATCTTGTTTGTTAGTTTTTTATTTCAAATTTTTTGTTCAGCAGATGATGAATTCGTATGCTCTCTTTTGATGTTTTTTTTTCTCGTATTCCTTAGTCCTGCTCTTGTTGTGCATGTTGCCACTCTGTTATTTTTGGCCAGGAGATTTACAGATGATGCTGCTAATGTAATGCAGCATCACTACTCCTCTTTTCCTATCCTGTGATTTAGCCTTATTGGTGCTGTGTTAGGTTTCCTGTGCTGCTTTGAAAAACTCACATCAAACTGTTGACTTCAACACCTCTTTTGTAAATGTAAAATACTGCTGTTTGGTGGTTAACCTGTGACGTGACTCATTTTTGTTGCAGTTTTCATAATTGTAATTAAAAGACCATCAGAGTTAAAGACCACCAAGGCATGATGGGATGCCTCCACCAATGCAGCAAACTCTATGGTTGCCTATATTTGATAACTCATTACTGAAAATTTAATGGTTGTTGTATTTATGAGTTAACTGTGTATTTTTTTATATGGTTAAGCATGAATTTTGATGCTTCATATTCCTACAGAGGTTTAGTCACTACATGCAGCCTGATTCTAATTGTTTAAGTTGCACATAACTAAGCTGCAACTTGGTTGGTAAGCTTCACAGTATCTGAAATTGAAAATTTTGCAAGAAAAACACAACACGTGGCACCTCTGGGGCTCAATCAACAGTTACTATTAGAATCATAAAACTTCTATAAAACACCTCAGAGACTTTCAATTTGAAGCATGCACGACAAATTTTATGATTCAAATTCATATCTGACACCAGGTTGGTTCTTTTTTTAGCAAGTTAAGTTGCTGACACATAAATGACTAAACTGAGTATCTTAAAAAAAAAAAAAAAAAAGATATCCATGAATGCTGCTCAGACATGTCAAGATGTTTGAACTTTACCTTACAATGTAAGTCAAAGAGCTTTTCAAATTAAATCAGAATCTTTTTCATTGCAACTCACTCCTCCCCATGTTTGCTGATTTGTCTGTTAAACTACC